AGTACTGAGTGTCAGTGAATGCAATGAGTAATACTAAATGAGCAGTACAGTAATAATAATTAAATAACTGCATTGACTTATTTTGTTTAGGAGAATCCATCCTCAACATACAGGATTCTGAAGACTATCCACCTTCAAGATCACTATCATTTTCTATAGTTTCAGAGTTATCTGCCAATGATAGTGTTTCAGTCACATCATGTATGTGAGATAGCCACAGTATATCACCTGTAGCAAAAAAAAAAAATCTCCATCATCGAGAAACAACCATAGATAAATTTGCGATAAGAACCAGCAGATTACAAAAAGAGGTAATTGATGAAAAAATTGCCCGGTTTGTTTATGCAACAAACTCTCCTTTCCATATGATTGAGAACCCACACTTCATTAACATGGTTCAGTCATTAAGACCAGGATACAGTCCACCCAACAGAGTAGATGTCACAGGCAGATTGCTGGATAAAGTGTATGAAAGAGAAATTGAGCAGTGTGCAAAAGATCTAGAGGGTAAAATTGTTAACCTGAGTCTTGATGGGTGGAGCAATGTCCACAATGATCCTGTTGTGTGTGCTTGTGTGACAATAGAAGAAGGGAATGTCTTCCTTACAAAAACAATTGATACATCAGGAAATGCACACACAGAACAATACTTAAAAGAAGTAGCAGTAAAAGCTATAACAAACTGTGAAAAAAAATTCAAATGTCTAGTAGGCAGCTTGGTCACAGACAATGCTGCAAATGTATCCAAGATTAGAAGAAATTATTTAGAAGAGAGTGAAGATAGTCCCAAGCTAATAACATATGGTTGCAGTGCTCATTTGATGCACTTCCTAGCCAAAGACTTCAGTGTTCCAGAAATAAAGGCTAATGTTGTTGAAATTGCAAAATACTTCTGTAACGACCACTTTGCAGCAGCTGCTCTGAAAAAAGTGGGAGGAACCAAGCTAACTCTCCCACAAGACGTGCAATGAAACTCAGTAGTGGACTGTTTTGAGCACTATATCAAGAACTGGCCTAATCTGATGACAGTTTGTGAACAAAATGGTGAAAAAATAGATGGCACTGTCACAGAGAAAGTTCTCAACATTGGGCTTAAGAGAAATGTTGAACACATGCTGAGTACCCTAAAGCCTATTTCTGTAGCCTTGAACAAAATGCAGGGAAATAGCTGTTTTATTGCTGATGCTGTTGAAATTTGGAAGGAACTAAGTGAGATCTTAAAACGAGAAATATGCAGTGACAGAGTTAAATTACAAGCATTAAAAAACGAATGGGACAAGCACTATCTTCAGCTCATTTTCTTGCAAATATTCTCAATAGTCGGTACCAGGATCAAACCTTAACTGTTGAAGAAGAGGAGTTGGCTATGACATGGACATCCAGCAATCATCCCTCCATAATGTCAACTATAATAAACTTCAGAGCTAAGGGTGAACCATTCAATAAATATATGTTTGCTGATGATGTTTTAAAGAAAGTCACACCAGTGAACTGGTGGAAGTCACTTAAGCACTTGGATTCAGAGACTGTTGAAGTGATAATCTCACTTTTAACAGCAGTAGCTTCTTCTGCTGGTATAGAAATAATATTTTCTTCCTTTGGACTAATTCATTCCAAATTGAGAAATTGTTTGGGACCTGAAAAAGCAGGAAAGCTTGTTTTTCTTTTCCAGATTATGAACAAACAGGAAAATGAAGGTAAAGATGATTGAATTTGCTGCAGAAGCCAATATTTTAAGATTCTCATGTTGACCTGGCTGACATTGTCGATTTTAATTTTTTTTTTAATATTTCATTTAACTATTTTAGTTTAAAACAATTTTAACAAAAACAAACCTGATTTTAAAAAACTTGACAGTTTAAATTCAAAAATTCATATGCTTGTTTTGTTAAAATATTATATGTTTGCTGTTGAAGAAAAAAATCCAGAATACATAACTTTGTTGTTTTCGTTAAATAAAACAATTTAAATGTCTGTCTGGTGATGTTCTCCTCCTAATACAGCATGGCAAGAAAATCCTCCAAATATTAATGATTAACTTGTTGAATTGGAGATAGTTCACCTCCTAGTGACTTCATAAATATCTGCTTCAGTTACCTTCGGTAAATGAAATAACCAAACAATCATTCATTTTCTGATATAGCTGTAAAACTAATCTGAAAAGTTTTCAAAATAAATCACTTTAAAAATGTATAGTGTGTACCTTCTAAAAATGAAATCTACATCTATCTCTGAGTTGTGAAGAGTATGTATTAAGGTTATAACAACCAACAAGAATGCACTTTTATGTAGAAATCCATGATTAAATTGAGTCTTCCTGACTAGTGATTTAAATCATGGTTTAAATCAATTTGATTTAAATCAAATCCACCCTGCTGTGGAAATAGACTTCAAACTATGGAACATATTGTTGAACAATGTCTCATAAGATCATATTTTGGTGGTATCTCTGCCATCCACTCAGCTTCACCTGAAGCAATCATTTGGATTGCCAACCTAGACTTGGACATTTAACACTGCTGGTTTTAAGCCATATGAAATAAGACTTTGCCTATGTGGCCACATAGGGGAGTAAGAGGGTGTTGGAGAGGGCCTTATGCCCTGTGAGGCTGTGCAGGGCTGACTCATTGTCCTCGTCTACACTAGGAAAAAAAGCATACTCTTAACTTGAGGCAAATTCCTAGTGAAGACAAGGCAGTTTGTAACTTTCATGTACTAGGCTTCCCCATAGTCTTTAACTTGACTTGTTTACTCACGTGAAAATGTGCAAACTGCCTTGTCTTTACTAGGATTTTACCTCAAGTTAAGAACACACTTCTTTTTCTAGTGAATACACAGCCATGGAGACCAATCATGGAAGCAGGGTGGGATCAGGAGTAGGGATGGGGAACAGACTTATGGCTGTGCATGCCCCCACCCGTGTACTGGCTGGACATGAGTGGGAAGTTTGCTATGTCAGATAGTGGGATGACATAGCATATTCCCTCCTAAATTTCCAACTCCTTCAGGAGCTCAGGAAGTACTGTGACTCACACTGTCCCTTAAACAGGGCTCAGAAAAACCTCCTAATCTACAATAAATAGTATATACAAATAAGGTGAAGGTGGAGAAGAAATTAATTTCAAAAATATGTAAATAATGTTAAAAATAAAAGAATAAACACATCTGAATTCTTTTCAGAGCTTCTCTTCTCTCTTAGGTCTACTGGATGATGAGAGGGAAAATTCTCTTCAGTACCAAATAATATTGCTAATGTAACACTGTGATTAACATTCTTGACAGCGATTTGAATACTATCGGGAAATTACTCTTAAAAATAATTTCAGTGTTGCTGTTTTTAGAAAGCATACTATTGACCTCTGTGTAAAATGTTCTTTTGATTGACTGTGCATCTAATAGTGAATTTTTTTTTTTTTAAATGACACAGTTTAGTGACTTGTGGCCAAGTTTCTGGTAGGACATCCTGAAAAAATGTGTGCCTATGATAATAGCTAATGCATATTTATTGAGTGATGAAATCTTTGACTGTTCATTCAGCTAGACCAGGGGTCGGCAACCTTCGGCACGCGGCCCATCAGGGTAATCTGCTGGCAGGCCGCGAGACATTTTGTTTACGGTGACCGTCCGCAGGCACGGCCCCCTGCAGCTCCCAGTGGCCGCGGTTCGCTGTTCCCAGACAATGGGAGCTGCGGGAAGCAACATGGGCTGCAGGGACTTGCTGGCAACCACTTCCCACAGCTCCCTTTGGCCAGGAACGGCGAACCGCGGCCACTGGGAGCTGCGGGGTGCCATGCCTGCGGACGATCAATGTAAACAAAATGTCTTGCGGCCCACCAGCAAATTACCCTGATTGGCTGCATGTCAAAGTTTGCCGATCCCTGCGCTATACCTAATTAAATAACCCTATTTGAAAAAAAGAAGAAATAAATTTTGTTGAGTCAGGTGGGAGGAAGCATGATCTTAGGACAGAGGCACAAGCTTGTATTTGTCAGGAGCTCTGGTTTTGATTTCCAGTTTTTCCATAGATTTCCTGTGGGATTACAATGTAGATAAAGATTGACATGCTTTCTTCTTACCTTCGATCTAGGGATAATAATGGTTGGAGTTATTGTTGGATCAAAGAAGACAGGCATAAATCCTGACAATGTTGCCACACCTATTGCAGCGAGTTTTGGAGACCTTATCACTCTTGCTATACTAGCTTGGATAAGTCAGGGTCTTTATAATTGCCTTGGTAAGTATGTTCCTAACTACATGTGCCTTTGAGAGGCTCTTCTTTTGTTGTTGTTAAACATTTAAATAGATACACATTCTTTTTTACATCAAATGATAGATCTTTGGTTGAAACATTAGGTCACAGCTATTTATTCTTTTTAAGATAAACAGGATCTCAAGCCACTAGCTGCAATCAGTTGAAGTCCCTATTTTTCCCCTTTGCCGTATCTGTTACTATACTAATCAGTCCCAGTCAGTCAGCAGATGTACTTGTCACTGGAACTCCTGAACTAGCTCCTCTTCCTGTGAAAAAGAAGCTGGCTTTGTTAAGAGTTTCTGAATGTCCACCTTCAAATCAAATCTTAGCCCTCTCCAGACCATTGTTTGACTTGTCACACTTGCTCTGGTAGTTACTTGTTTCTTTGTTGACTAGCTGGTTTTGGGTATGTCTACACTGGCAGAGTTACAGTGCCGGCAGTTACAGCGCTGCTCAGAGAGTGCTGAAGGGAAACCGCTGTTATGTGTTCACACTGTCAGCTGCCGGCGCAATAGCATGTTCACACTTGCGGCACTTGCAGTGGTATTTGGAGCGGTGCACTCTGGGCAGCTATCCTACAGAGCATTTCTTCCTCTTCTGCCGCTAAGAGTTGTCGGAAGATGGACGGGGTCACGGAGCATCCTGGGTCCTGTCCCAATGCCCCGTGATGCATTGCTTTGCATCTCAGCAATCCCTGTGCTTCCATCCGCATTTGGCGCCATCTTTCAGTGGTTTGTGTACTGCGTGCTCTGCCTTTTTGGTCTGCAGGAATGTATCTGACCACAGTGGAACTCCGCTTTTGGGCTCGGGAAACAAGTACTGAGTGTTGGGATCACATCGTGATGCACATCTGGGATGACAAGCAGTGGCTGCAGAACTTTCGGATGAGGAAAGCCACATTCATGGAACTGTGTGATGAGTTCGTCCCAGCTCTGTGGCGCAAGGACACAAGAATGAGAGCTGCCCTGCTGTTGGAGAAGCACATGGTGATAGCACTGTGGAAGCTGGCTACTCCAGATTGCTACCAATTGCTCGCTAACCAGTTTGGAGTGGGAAAGTCGACCGTTGGACTCATGTTGACAGAAGTGTGCAGGGCTGTTAATCACATCCTGCTCCGAAAGACCGTGACTCTAAGCAACATGTGTGACATTGTGGATGGCTTTGCACAAATGGGCTTCCCTAACTGTGGAGGGGTGATAGATGGCACGCACATTCCAATTCTGGCACCAGATCACCTAGCCACCGAGTACATTAATCGGAAAGGGTATTTCTTTATGGTTCTCCAGGCACTTGTGGATCAGCGTGGGAGTTTCACAGACATTAACACAGGCTGGTCCAGAAAGGTGCATGATGCACACATCTTTCGGAACACAGGCCTGTTCAGGAAGCTGCAAGCAGGGACTTTCTTCCCAGACCAGAAGATCACCACAGGGGAAGTCAAAATGCCCATTGTGATCTTGGGAGACCCTGCTTACCCCTTAATGCGGTGGATTATGAAGCCATACACGGGGCACCCTGACAACAGCAAGGAGTGGTTCAAAAACAGGCTGAGCAAGTGCAGAATGACTGTTGAGTGTGCTTTTGGCCGTTTAAAGGCCTGCAGTCACTGCGTTTATGGGAAACTGGACCTGGATGATGACAATATTCCTATGCTTATAGCCGCGTGCTGTACGCTCCATCATATTTGTGAAGGGAAGGGTGAAAGCTTCACTCTGGGCTGGACCGCTGAATTCTGGGTCGTGCTTGGTTTGCTGGTGCCTGGAGCTGGCGCTGCCCAGAGGAGGCTAGCCAGTCTCACCTGTTGGAGCTTGGCGAAGCGCAAACAGGAGAGGAGGCTCCTGGTAAGTGGATTTGATTTTGGAAATCGCTGAAGCAAGTTGTTGGGTGCAGGAGGGTTGCAGAAAGCAGGCTTGTGTCTGTATGATGCACGTACTACCACATGCCTAGTCTGAGCGGCGGAACAGGCTGTTGATTGACTCCCTCAGTTCACAGGAATCTGCCTCAGAGATCTTCAGGAAACTCTCATGGAGATACTGGGCAATCCACTACTGCAGGTTCTTTGGCAGAGCTGCTTTGTTTCTTGCCCCATTAAGGGTAATGTTCCGGCACCACTCTGCTGTCACGGGGGGGGCGGGGACTACCATTGATGCACACAGGCAAACCGCATAAGGGCCAGTGTGGAAGCCGCAGTCTTGGAGAAGACCCTCCTTTGATTCCCTGCTCACCCTCAGCAGCGAGCTATCTTCCATAATGAACACAGCCGGTGGAAAATGTGGGCACAGGAATGATTATCAGGCCCCCGCTACAGTATTGGTCTCCCCAAAAGCCACGTGCCCGGTGTACAGTAGGGTTAGGGAACACCCATTTCCCCTGTCCCTGCAGCTACTCACCATTTTGGGGGGTTTGTGGCTCATGTGTGCTTGCCTGGGGTCAGCCAGTTAGTGACAGGTATGTGAATAGTGGCTGTGTTTTAAATCACTGAATCAGTGGTCTGTGTGTTGCAAACAATACTGCTTCTGTAAAATGTTGCGTTTTGGCTTCACAAAGTTGACCTTGGGAGCCCAGACTCCCTCCTTGTTATCGCCAGCTGAACGCTGCGCAGAATTAGAAAGCGGCCACAAAGAACTAAGGAGGACTTTCTGCATGAGGTTATGAGACGCTCCGCGGCAGAAAAACAGGAATTGAAGGAGTGGTGGGATAGCGAGAAGAGGGGCTGAAAGGAGAACACGGCGCGTCAGAATGAAGCCATGGAGCGGCTCTTAAAGGTTATGGAGCACCAAGCGGACACACTCCAGGCGATACTAGCACTGCAGACCGAGCAGCTCCGTGCCCACCCTCCCTTGCAACCGCTGTTGCAAAACTCTTTCCCATGCGCCTCCCAGACACCACCAACACACTCTTATCAACCTCCTGGCTCCAGTCTGTACCTGCGGCATTCCACTCTTCTCCCCATCACAGTCCAGCACTGCGGACTCCCAGTACCCACTGCACTCAACACCCATCCCTCTGCAGTTTAGCCCTTCTGAAGTACAGTACCTGTTGCACTGTACTCCAAAGGAGAAGGCTGGTTATGATCCCTGGACATACACAAATCCTTAACCATCCTGGGATCCTCTTCCTCCTGGGACCTTCCCTTCCCCCATCCCCCTCAGTGCTGATGTGGTTTTTTTTGTTTGTCTCTCTCCTCTGGTTGTTGTTTTTTAATAAAAGAATTGTGTTGGTTTGAAAGCAATCTTTATTCTATTAATTGACAGGAAACAGAGCTCTGCAAAGCAACACATAATTATCTTAAACCTTCATAGTGCATCGTCTGCACCAATCACAATCACCTCCTAGCACTACAAGCACTGCATTCCTGAGCATAGCAACAAATATTAGTGGCTTTCAGCTTCAAATTGCTGTCTGAAGGCATCCCTGATCCTTATGGCCCCACACTGCGCCCCTCTAATAGCCCTGGTCTCTGGCTGTTCAAATTCAGCTTGTTTGTTTTTTTGTTTTGTTTGTTTTTTGCTTGGGGCAGCAAAAAACATAGAGCCGGCCCTGTCTCCAGGGTAGAAAAGAACTCCTGGCTGCATGTATCTCTGACCTCCAAGTTGTCCTCTGCTGCTGGGTCCCCCTCCACAACCTTGTCCAAGATTTCCTGTTCCTGGCTCAGTCCAATCTCGAGTGGCACGCAGGCCACCCAAGTATCCACAGTGGCCTTCGCAGTGGAAGTGGGGTTGCCACCGAGTATCGCATCCAGCTGTTTGTAGAACCGGTAGCTTGTGGGCGGAGCACCAGGGCAGCGGTTTGCCTCCTGTGCCTTGTGTTAGGCATTCCGCAGCTCTTTCACTTTGACCCTGCACTGCAGTGTGTCCCGGTCATGGCCCTTTTCTGTCATGCATTGTGAAATCTGTCCATAGTATCATAATTCCTGTGGCTGGAGCACAGCTGGGACTGGACAGCCTCCTCTGCCCAAATGTTGATGAGGTCCAGCAGCTCGGCATTGCTCCAAGTGGGGGATCACCTGGTGTGTGGAACAGGCATGGCCACCTGGAAAGATGCGCTGAGACCACTGCACGCATCACCAAGCAAACAGGAAGGGGACTTTCAAAATTCCAAAGGAATTTACGGGGTGCGGATGACGGTTGGTCACCTGAGGGCAGGGTAGTAGAGTTCAAACCGATGACCAGGAAGCAAAAACAGGCATTGTGGGACACCTTCCGGAGGCCAATCGCAGTGCTGTAATCTACAGCTGGCACCGCGGCACTGTATCCCTAGCGCAGAAAGCTGTACGCCTCTCATAAGGGTGTTTTTTTTACAGTGCTGCAACTGTGCAGTTTCTGCGTACTAAGTGGCTTGGCAGTGTGTACACCTCAGGAGTTACAACGCAGAAAGCTGGTTTACTGCGCAGAAACTTGCCAGTGTAGACAAGGTCTTTGTGTAGAGAGGTCTGCTTCTGTTTTTTGAATGGTTTGTGGTTTTAGTCATTGTTAAAGTGCCTAGAGTCAAAGCTATATATGTATACATGCAAATCAAAATATCTAGATAAAATAAAGCTAAAAATAACATAACCTGGAAAAATTAATCCATTGAAATAACAACGGACTCTTGCTATTCCCCAAATTGCAACAAAATATTGGGCTTTTAAAGTATAAACATGAGCTAGCTTGTGGGCATCATCAAACTGGCCTTAACTCTTTACTGCTTTTTCCTTTGGGAACCACCACTGCTCAACAGTAAATAATGTGATTGTTGCTAGCTGCTCCATAGAATGGTGCTATGCTTCCCTTGTTGTCTGTGTTTTGTCTGTCTTCCAAGGATGGAAAATTCTTTTCTGAACCTAAACTTGTTGATTTTATAATAGCCCTGTACATGGCAGCAAGGACTGCTCAACCATAACACTGACTTTCTAATTCAATCTTAAAAGATGAAAAGTGGAGAACTACCATGAGATTAGACCCACCACATAAATGAGGCCTACAATGAGGCCTACTGACCAT